TCTCTCTCTCTCTCTCTCTCTCTCTCTCTCTCTCTCTCTCTCTCTCTCTCATTTACAGTTTAAGTCCATGTACAAACTTATTGAAATGTAATTACTCTGGGTGATTGTTCTTGACCAGTTTACATACACTTCCATCTTGCACATAGTTAACTAGATGCATACTTAAACATAAAGTTTAACATTATGACACAAAGGTGAGAACTTAATACAAGACTGGAGAGTTATGGGGGTGAAGTAAATATACTTACTTTAGTTCTTTTTTTCAATTTTACATAAGTTTTTTCTTGTATATTTTATTTAATTTATGTTTTTAAATGTTTTTTTCCTAATAACAGTCCCCAGTGGTGCTGGCAGGCATGTATAGTCTTAAAAGTGAGTCAAAATTTTTATATTTGTTTCCCAGCTTCCACTGGAAGACTTCCCAACCATAACTACTCATATGAATGATGGCAGCTCTGTTGATGTGGACAGTGTTGGAAAGTGCCTGGCAGAGTTTGACTTAGGGGGACAGAAAGTGGAGAATGCTCAGCAGGTAAACTTAATAATTTGTGTTCAATATGGAAAATGTGTGTAGCTTTTCAAAATACTTATATTACTTATAAACCATGTCATGACAAATATGATAATAAAGCTATATGAAAGACTTTGGTAAATAATAACAAACATGACAAAATCAGTCAAATATTGAACTTGCTAAACTGTCAAAACAGTCCATATCTCGTACCTTTGATGTATTTATATGACAGATAACAAAATGTAGCTGCATATATTGATCACTGATAATTGCTTCATTTTTTCAAGTTTTTCTCCTGGTTTGCCGAAGTGGAGGAGAAAATGGAGGCTGAAGAAGAGGAAGGTCAGAGGTAAGAAGACAAAAGTTACTGTATTGATACTCTCAAGGTCCTGTTCTAATACTCTCAAGGTCCTGTTCTAATCAGTGTTAAGTACATTTTTAGTACTATTATTATTATTATTTTTTTAATTTTCAATTTTGCATTTGGTTTAAATATGCAGTCTTTGGGGAAATAATTCTGGCAATCAGCAACTAGATGTGCCATTTTTCAGAGGCAATTAACTTCACTGCAAAGTCCTCTCTCTCTCTCCCCCCCCCCCTTCCTCCCCCC